TGGCCTGTTTTTAGACAGGTACTCGGTATCCATGCAGGACAGGGTGACCCAGGAGAGAAGCCTCCTCTAAAACCACACCATCCTAAGCTTCTGTGTATGTCCCCTCCTCGGCCCTTTACCAGATACCTTTTTGTTTGGGGCTTGTATCTGTTTAGCAGTGCTTTCCAATCCGCACACACTCTGCTCCCTCACTTAATTTACTGGGAGGGAGCCCTGTCCCTTCATCAGGGCTGGCTTGAGGGATTCTTGCCACGTGGTATGTGTCCCAACATAGTTCATAAAGAACATTTTATGAGAGGCAGTGTGGGGTCACTAAACATCATTTTGATTCAGAGTGAGAATGTCTTTGCTCAAATCCTGGTTTCTGAAACTTTGTGATCTTACACTAGTCATTTAACCAGTCATTTGAATTTCAACTTACACATCTATAAACCAGAAATAGTTTCAGACCTACCCACCTCACGTGCTCATTCTAAAGAATCTCTATCTGTAAACTGCACCACAGACTGCATTCAGGATAGTTGAAGCTTATTTTAAATTTATTAGATTTGCCCTTTTATATACATTAAAGGAGTTTTGATTCCTACTTGATTTCCAAAAACGTACCACAAGGGCCTCTTTTCCAATGAAGGAGGGGGCTCCATTTGTGTGGATCTTACAGAAAACAAGCTTTTCCGCAAAGGAAGGTTCTAGTAAGTGAGCACAAAATCAGATGGCGCGCTGTGCCCATCATCCTGGGCTGGGCTTCCTACCTGGTAGGCCTGCTCTGGGCTCAGGGTGGTGACTGAGCCGCGCCGGCCGCGGGCGGTGTCCCCCCCAGGCCTCCCGCCGACGTTGCTGTGTTACCTGTGTGTGTCTTCTCTGCTGGGACAGACCGTATATGCCTCTGAATTCTCAGGGCGGCTCGCACAGAGTCCTCCCTGGGGAGCCGGTCCCTGGCTGCAGGGCGGGAGGTGGGCAGGACGCGCCCCTCGGGGATTCGGGGTGAACGCGCCGGGGCCGCTGGGCGGGGTTGGGCGACCCCGGGCTGCTCCCAGACCCGAAACTAAGAACGAAGGAAAGACTGTCCCTGCGGATCTGAGCGCCTATCCGGTGGGCCCTAGATTTCTGCCTGCCTGGAGGTGTCCACTTCCCATCTTTGAAGCAGTCCCAGCTCGCAAAGAAACTCACTCGGTCAAGCTCATGGAATAGTAAGTCAAGAAAATGCTTGGTTTCGTCGCCCACCCCTTTCACAGTGATTAGCCTGGCCGTGGGAAAAGTGAGCCCCGAGTCACAAGGGCAGGGACTTTGTGGGCTGTGTTCACTGACGCATTTCAAAACCACAGCGGGCACCTGGTCCACGGGAGTAGTTCGCCGAGCCCGCCGCCCGCCCGCCGCCCCCGGCCCTGCTTCCTGCGCACCCCGGTGTCAGCAGCAGGTGGAAGGCGGCGCGGCCCCCGGCGGCCCCGCACTGGGCTGCTGCTTCCCGGGGCCCTTCAGACCCGCACAAGCACGGGGCTCCACGTCTTTCCTCCATCCCAGACTCCAGTGCTAAAATGATAGAAGTATATTTTTGAGTGCCAAGGAGCTTTGGAAATGCTAAAAGATGTATAATCCAATTTCTTTTGCATCCCCCCCCTTTTTTTGCATTTCCTTTTAATAAACAAATACCAGGGAAAAAAAGAAAAGAAAAGCAGCTAAGGTCAGGTGGCTATCCCTGGAGATTGGCTGGTCGACTTTCTTTTTTCTTTGTAGTTTTTTGTATTATCTGAAAAATACTTTTAATAAACTGGCACTTATTTCTTTTACTTCAAAACAAGAAATCTTTTTTCAGAAACAAAAAGCAAATCCACTGAAAACGTATTCTTTAAAGAGATCTTGCTAGTGATAGCATAGCTTCCCCCCCCACTTCTTGGCCCCTCGCCAGTGGTTCAATAAATAGAAGGTAAGCCTACATCTCTTTCGAGGGAAAGACATGTTCATTGATTATAACTCATTCATTTTGTAAGAGGCCTGCCCTGTGATTTTTTGTATAATAACAGCAATCTGAAGATTTCAGCCTAGAAACCGGCTGTCGGCTTGGTGCCTGTGGCTCAAGTGGCTGAGGCGCCAGCCACATACACCTAAGGTGGCGGGTTCGAATCCAGCCCCGGCTGCCAAAACAATGATGGCTGCAACCAAAAAAAAAAAAAAAAAATAGCCTGGCGTTGTGGCGGGTGCCTGTGGTCCCAGCTCCTTGGGAGGCTGAGGCAGGAGACTCGCTTGAGCCCAGGAGTTGGAGGTTGCTGTGAGCTGTGATGCCACCGCACTCTACCCAGGGCGACAGCTTGAGGCTCTGTCTCAAAAAAGAAAAAAAAAAAAGAAACCAGCTGTCATTTACCTAGTGATTCTGTCCTTTACCCGACCATCCTCAGTCAGCATATGGTATATGTATTTGTATATTCAAATTGGAGATTGTTAGACTTTCCAGAAGCCCGAGACCTGGATATTGTGTGAGTGCCTTTGAAGTCCGTTCACTGGGATCTGTGTGTTCTGCAGCACGCAGCCACACCCCAAATATCCACATGCTAGCTGCCACTTAGTTTGTATGAAAACTTACTTCCTCCCTGTAGTGGCCTGAACAGTCTTCTACCCAATAGACCAAACTAGGTCTCTTTTGCTAATTTTGACTTCCTCTTTTGAATGTGAGAAATTGTGGGAACTCAGGTGTTTCTGTGAATGTTAATTACCACCGGGAACTAAAGCAGAGTGCGAAGCCCCAGGAGGTGTCTAATTTTATTAGAAGTTCCTCTTTAGCACAGGTTACACAGCAGTCAAGGCTGCTCTGCCCAGCCCTGCCCACTCTGAGTAAAAGAACAGCCCTAGAGGGAGCGAGCATCCAGGAGTTCCTTCTGACTTCCAGCAAGAGATTTCTTACCAAGGAAATATCTTCTTGATAGTCACAAACTGAGAGGAGAAAGCACACACTCAGCTCACTCGTGTGCAAAGCTGTGATCGTTTCAAAATTCTAAGTATGTTTCACGCTTCAGCATAATATAAGACAGAAACAAATGCAAAATGTCCCCAACAACTGCAGTTCTCTTTGCTTCAACCATGGAATATTCTGTGGTCTTTAATCTTAGCTATTTAGTGAAAAAGATCAACAAACAGTAAGTGGAGGGAAAAAACTTCCTTGAATCTCCTTTGTGCTGGGTGATGTTTTTAAAATTTTCTAGGACTTTAGGTATAAGCTCCCCTTTCCTTTCCTCAGTGGTCCTCAAAACTTATTATGTGTAAAAACCTCCTGGATAACCTGTTGCCGTGTAGACTGCTGGGCACTATCCTCAGAGAGTGGGCTTTGGGTGGGATGCTCTGGGGTCCAGGGATCTGTATGGAGCACCTGCTGAGCTGCTGCCTCTGTGCCGTGGGGTGCTGTTGTGTAAAGTAGAAAAGGCGGCCCTTCTGCATAGACACAGGTTGCTAAGCCTGTGGCTGCTCTGGGGAGAATTCAGGAACAGCATCCTCTTCTCCAGGCAGATGCAGCCCGTGGCTCCCCCTGAGAAGCACACTCCAAACCAGCCCTTTGACCCCTTACCTGCTGCTGGGACAGCAGCCCTGACATCGCAGGAGATTCCATGCCAGATACTGAGCAGAACACACTTTATGAAGAACCATGACTATAGGCTTTTTTATTTCTCTTTTGTTACTAATCTAATGATTTTTTTTTTTTTTTTGAGACAGAGTCTTAAGCTGTTGCCCTGAGTAGAGTGCCATGGCATCATAGCTCACAGCAACCTCCAACTCCTGGGCTCAAGTGATCCTCTTGCCTCAGTTTTTCTATTTTAGTAGAAACGGGGTCTCGCTTTTGCTCAGGCTAGTCTCAAACTCATGAGCTCCAGCTATCCACCTGCCTCGGCCTGCCAGAGTGCTAGGATTACAAGCATGAGCCACCACGCCCAGCATTTTGTTACCAATTTAACTCAGCAAATATTTACCGAGTGCCCAGTGTGTGTAGAAGTCTAGGTAGGATGCCATCTTTGATCCCATAAAAGCAGAGAAGAGGGATGAAAACATTGGCAGGGGCCACTTAGGAAAAAGGAAAAAAACGAGGCAGAGGAAATGAAAATGGGGATCTTGGTGGACAAGCTTTGAAGAATGAGACTGTAATGCCTTTTTTTTTTTACAGGAAATCTTAGCATTTGGCTCACATGCTTAACATCTTAATCTTATCCATTAAATGTCTTAGTTAGAACCAACCTGGTACATGTCTTCCCTGTCTATATAAAATGAATATATAAAAATGACTATTAAAAGGCTGTGCCAGCCACATACCCCAGAGCTAGTGGGTTTGAATCTAGCCTGGGCCTGCCAAATGACAATGACAACTACAACCAAAAAAAAAAAAAAAATAGCCAGGTGTTGTGGCGGGCGCCTGTAGTCCCAGCTACTTGGGAGGCTGAGGCAAGAGAATCACTTAAGCCCAGGAGTTGGAGATTGCTGTGAGCTGTGATGCCACAGCACACAGCTTGAAGCTCTGTCTTAAAAAAAAAAAAATGGTAATAAAAGACTGGGCTCATGCCTGTAATCTTAGCAATCTGGGAAGCTGAGGAGGGTATATTGCCTGACCTCACAAGTTTGAGACCAGCCTGAGCCAGAGCAAAACCCCTGTGTCTAAAAACTGCCAAGCGTTGTGGCTGGTGCCTATACTCCCAGCTACTTGGGAGGCTGAGGCATAAGAATCACTTGAGCCCAAGAGTTTGAGGTTACTGTGAGCTGTGATGCTACGGCACTCTACCAAGGGCAACAAACTGAGACTCTGATTAATACAGA